GAAGCAGGTGATCTGTAGGAAGAAGACTGCAAAATAGGGATAGCTGGCTCAAGCCCACGTGAATGTATTTAAAATACTAATCACATAATGACACACTGTGATATTGAATCACCAGAAAATAGACCTAGTTAGAGAAAAATGAATGTTTGGCAAAGGTGATAATTGTGAACATTTCCTGTGGAAACAAGCACCCTGCCAATTGCTACAATCATCAAAATAGGTAAGTCTTCCATACTGACCAGAAGGGCAGTCCAAGAGTTTTGTGACACCTGTATTTCTCAAGTACAAAAAAGCTCCTAGGGAACTATCGAAAAATATTTAGAAAACTAATTCCAACAGACAATGCTGTGAAATGGAAACTTAAAACATGGCTGTTCACCTCCAAACTTGCCTCTGCTCTTCAACTGAAGTCCCAGGCTTCCAGAGGCAGTAACCATGAGAATTCACATAACCTTCATGGATGAGAATGGCAGTGCTAATACAGCTCTAACAGCTTCATCTCCCTACAAGAAGACTGCCAGTGTGATCCGCAAATCTCATGGCATTGTTTTGGGGGCATTTTTATTAAAGCCTATGATCCCTGTGTTCTAACTAAAAGAAAAAAAATGAAAGTCAACTTACCTCTTACTGATAATGATAATTTCACAAATATTGAGCTCTGTTACATCTGAAGCTGCATAAGGGTATGATTCTGCAATCTGATTGCATCTTATCTGTTTCTTCCCCTCTGCCTTTATATTTGAAAAATCAAATCACATTCTGCAAAATATTCCCCATGGGACACATATGAATATTTGATTTAGACTGGAGAGCAGTTAACCACATAATTAGTTACCCTGGAAATCAAAGAATTCAGAAAAATAAGAACTACCAGATTAGAACATTCCTCTTTCTAAAGGTTGGCAGATGCTATGGAGGGAAGCACAAGAAACCCTCATGAAAAGTCTCCTCACAGCCTAAGGAGGGGCTAATTCAAATTCTAGATAACGAAGTTTAATATTATCTCCAGCATGTTTCCCATTTTATCACAATTCTAGGTCTTATCACTGCTATTATAATTCCTTGAAATCTTCATCTCAAGAATAAAATGTTTTCTTCAATATGATTTCTTTTCTATCAATCTTTAATTGATGGCATTTCAGCTTCTTTTCCTGTCTATCTTTTTTCTCTTATGACCAGAAGAAAACCTCTCTACCTGCCTAAGCAACACATGCCAGTACTCTCCAACACTTTTGTTTCAACCTCTTTAAGGTAAACAGCAAAAACTCTTGATGCTCTTTACAGATTGTCTGTACTCTTTCTCCTTGCTCATCTCAGAGTCTCCAGTAATATTTTTTTGAGAGCAGATAACTATAATTACCCTAAATTTGCTGAAGGCATCCTAACACACAGGAACTACATTGCATTGTTGCAGCTCCTAAAATCTGGTTTGCAAGTGCAGTCCAACAGCAGAGGTCTTCCCTGAGCTGTGTACAGTCCCAAAATCACCAGCCAATGTAATGTGCAAGTTGGCAGGTAATTTTAGCGTTTTCAGAAAATGTGAGGCTTCTGTTTGTGATAACTGAATGACATTTATTGACATTTCAGCAAGTCACCTGGCTGGGACAGGTCTCCCTAGAGTAATGCTACAAGTCCTTTCTCATTGTGTCCAATCCAGTTTGTGTCTTACACACATTTTCACTTCTTCCTCCTCTTTTTCCAATGAATTTATAAGAATATTAAATACTGGAGTTGCTACATAACCTTGAGGTATCCCGGTATGTTTCAAATTGTTCTCCAAGCAAGTTTTGGGGTCATGGTAACACTACCTCAGTTTATCAGTGGTAGTTTCCCTAATGGAGTTTTGCTAAAACAAAAACAACGAAATAAGCAAAAGCTTTCTGAATCTCAGTTTCATACATCCATCCATACAGCTATATATATATATAAACAGTCTAAATGAAGCATAAAAGAAATGCACTGCAGTGCAAAAGAGGTAGATCTGACCCTATAGGCAATTTAGTTACAATAAAAAGAATGTCACCAAGAGAGACAGAATAAATAAATCTAGATCATACCATAATATGGACTTATTTTCTGCAAAGCAGGTCCATTATTAATGCAGTCCATAATTATAATCATAGTGCATCCAATTGTCTACAAGGATGCAAAATAAGATGACAAAGAGTACCCAGGTTGCAATTTAAGCTTAATGAAAATCATTTGTTCGCAGTACTTCAGCCAAATAAATTTTCTAACTGCAAAGTCTCAAGGAAAGTCCGTATCCCAAAACTAGACATCAGCCCAACTTGAAGGAGCATTCAAAGATGTTTCAAAGCAGCTGTGACAAAGTTGTCTTCCCACTTTAGATGATATACCCTATTCAGTCAGCTATTCAGCTGATGCAGATCAACATGGCTCTCCTCAAACCATGCTGTAGAGATGTATCTTTCCTTCTACGCGTCCTTCCACGTTCCTACTAACTCAGATTTTAAATTGGCAACACATTCACATAACCTATTATTTTTGGACACACATTTATGAAACTCAGACACATAGTATATTTATTGCCCACCATTATAACTCAAGTATGTAATTTTGTTATTCAGATCGAATTAGGAGAGAAAATGTAACTAGAATAGCAGTTTTAGGCTTGCTATTAACTTTTTCAGACAGAGTTATAAATTTCAACAAATAGGTTATAATTGAGGAGCCAGCATGACCTTTATTATTTCAGAAGGTTCAGCCACAGCAGCTCAGTGTGACTTCAGCTAGACTATTAGTCACTCTGTCAGATAGAACCATTAACATCCAACTCAGTCTGGCATCCACATATGATCTGATCCTTAAAACTGGCCTGAATAAGCTTTACTCTCAAGAACAGCCCCAATCCAGGCACTGGAATTGCTCTTATAGAAACATCACATTCCTAGTGAGTAAAGCAGCAAATATCTGATATTTCTGTCATAACTGCAATCAAAGGAAAAAATAAAAAAAGGCTCTCGCAGAAGAGTATTAGAATATTTATTAGTAAAGTCCAATTTTCAGGCAATCAAGACCAGCTCTCCCTCAGAGAAAAACTGAACTAGTACTGTGTGCCATGCATTCTTGTATCATTCTATTCCATTATTAAGCATACTGCCAAACAGATAATCTAGTAGTAAATATTTCAGAACATTTGCACTTAAAACGTAGGGAAGCACAGTATGAAAACAACCACTTTATCAGAGCCAGTGTTTCCAGCAAAGCAATGATTTTGGTTACAGAAGAATCCTTTTATCAACAAAAACCCCTGTGATATTTCAAACGACCTTAAGAAAATAAAAATAATGTTATGACTTCAATTAATTGGTAAACTATTCTGTAACTTTTTAATGCATACAACTGACATAAACATGATGAAAGATGGACAAAAATTACACAAAAAGTACTAGTTGATATATTACAACAACTTGAGGTAATGCTTCCTTTGTAAATCATGTATGTGATGGAATACAGCTACACCTCTCTTCATATCGTTATCATTTGAAGTTTCTTTCTCAAGTGTATGCATACGGAAGAAACAGCTCCACTCGACAGAGGAAAAGACAGATCATTCAGCTCAAGTGGTGCAAAAATTTGACAGAAATTTTCTCCTAAAACAACAGAAACACACACTGATAACGCGTTACTTGTGGAAATGGTATGTGCATGAGCGTGCAGGGGCTTTTACACAGCTGTCAACCCACGGTAATCACCGTCGCTAAGTATGCCTGCAACGCGAAGACAAATATTTGACCTATTTTCTTAGCAGAATTTAGCTGTCATCATTCGTAGCACCACGCTCTCGTGAACCAGCCACTGCCAAAGGACTAAGGCAACACGGGCATCGAATTCTTCGCCGGGAGTGAGAGCGCATCCTTCCACGGAGCGAGGTTTGCTCCAGCGCTAAAGCGCTCGGCCCCTCGAACCCCCATCCCTCTGCCGGCTCCTG